ACAGCATTCAACGCCTAAAACAAGATCACATATCAATCGAGTAATTAAAAGAATTACTTTAGGTTAAAATAAGTTAAAATACCATATAGTTTAAAACATTAGTACACTCGGCTAGGACAACATAGATTGAACATTGGATATTAATAAAAGAATATTCATCATGAAAACATCTCGGGGAACAGTCACCAAGTTATGAGTTCAGTATGCGGGTCATGTATGGCACGGCGCTTGTGTAGTATCCAGCTGTTCTGCAGGGTGGTGTGTCCAGTTTGTGTGACGTGCGAGTTACCCTGCTACTTATGTTCCCTCGTGACGGTGGTAGTAGGTGGCGATACTGGGTTGATTGAACAAGCGACTTAGCGAAATCTTTGGTGAGTTTTTCGCGTCGAGACCACAGAGACGGTAATCCGAGCTGGTCACATGCTCTCTTGTATGATGTATAGTGGGTACCAAGAATGATGCGCAGCGCTCGCTTCTGTACTTTCTCGATTCTTTCACTTAGAACTACCGGAAGTCCAGAATGCCAGACGGCAGCTGAGTATTCAGTAACAGGTCTGATATAGGATATGTATACTGTCACAAGATCGTCAGTCGAAAGCTGGAAGTGTTTGAGTCTACGCAGGAAGAAAAGTCGTTGACTTGCTTTGTGACAGAGTGTGTTCACGTGAGTATCCCATTTGAGGTCCGCTTGGAGGTAGACACCCAGAATCCTCATGGAATCGACTACTTGCAAAGTGACGTTGTTTATGATAAGTGGTTGAGGGACTGTCAACATTCGGCTGAATTGGAGGTGCATAACTTTGCACTTGCCCGGGTGGAGCATCATGTGGCTCTCCTGGGACCACTTATCCAAGTCCGACAGGTCTTGTTGTAGGTTTGAGGGAGCAGTAGGTGGGTATCTTATTTCTAGCATATTCAAATCATCAACGAACTTCCAGCGTTGTGAGATGGCATGGCTTGCCGCTGAGTTGATGTAAGTGATGAAGATTAACGGTCCCAGGAGAGTGCCCTGCGGGAGACCGCATGTTATCGTGATGTTGTCAGACTCTACTCCATGGTAGCGCACGGCCTGTCTTCTGTTTGTCAGGAAATCAGCAATCCATCTGGTTAACGAGGCTCGTAGGCCGAGCTGCAATAATCGACAGATGGCTACACTGTGGCAGACTCTGTCGAAAGCCTTGCTATAGTCAGTTGAAACAAGGGAGCAAAGAGTGGTCGGTTTGTCGGAAGCCTTGAATAGCTGGTTAGTTATGTCCAGGAGACAGTGGGTCGTAGACCTTCCTTTAAGACATCCGAATTGTTGGTCGTCGATTCCAGGGAGAATGTCCGACACTGCCCAAGTAGTTATGAAGCTTTCAGCGACTTTAGCCAGCAGTGAAGTAAGAGAGATGGGGCGCAATTCTTTAACTTGTGCACCATACGTGCACCATACTAGGTGCTCCGCACGTGCAACGCACCTTATTTCTACAGTATATAAAGACGACTTGACGGGCGACTGCCAACTCGTCTCCAAGATGCCCAGGAAGGCTCAAAAGAAGTCTACCAGACAAGATCCAAAGAAACGGGCCGCGGAAGACACCAGGGCGGCTAGTGATGATGAAGTTATCAGGAGGTGCACGCACTTACAACGTGCGAGTGAGTAAGGAAATCGTGCGCACGCCGCACGTGTAGGTACGGCCTGTACGCGGCAACGTGGCAATCGCACAGAGATCGTACGTTGTAAGCACGTACAACTCACTTACCACTTGCGCAACGTACGATGCACGCAACCGCTGACGGCCAGGCGTGTCGTGCAGACCACGTACGTACACCTTGCGAGTGACGTACTCCCTCGGCCGGCCACCCTACGTTTGCAGAAAAAACGTAGCAGACGTAGCCACGACAAAAACGTACGGACAAAAAGCACGCACGGCGAGTTGTGACCGTCGCTTTATGTCGACTGCTGATTAGTGATTTTAATCCATTACACGGGCGTGTGCTCGCTCTCAGAGAACCTCTTTATCCCTGCTGTTCTTGTGGCTGGCATTCTGCAAACAAAGGCGTCGACTGGAGGACTAAATAATGATGAACATGGTTTTCAAGATCTGGTGTGGGTGAGTATACGAGCGTCATTAAGAGAAACAAGTAGCTATAGACTTTGCGTTCAGCACTCCCTCACGTGTACGCACACGGTGTGCTTTTTACAGAAGAAACTTCTTGTCTCATGGCTGTTTATGTTTGTCAGAACAAAGTTAGATCAATTACTAATGTAGTGCTGCTGATAATACTGCGGGCAAGGGATCACACTCACGTTTTACATCTTCGAGCAGAACTAGAACGAACTGAAGAAAATCAGTTACAAATCAGAATTATTAAGTTATGTCCCTAAATAAGATGATAACGTCTACATTCTTTACAACGCTACTTAAGATTGAATACGCCTCCCCACACAACATGACGGAACACTGTGACGGAACACTATGGTTATAGAAGAAGAACTTTATTGCACGACAATTGCACATCTGTACAATGTATGGCAAACTACATAAAGAGAGTAACAACAATGAAATAAGTGTGTTGAATAAGACCTAATGTCGAATAAAACCTAACATATCTATATCATAATTATTTAAATAATAAGGGATAGCACAAGTCTTTGATAAAGTGTTACAATCGAGTGGGCTAATCACAATTAGTTATATACGATGTATACAGTCAACAGCTTCAAAACTAGGTGAACTTGTGTTGAATTATCAGTGTATGTTTTCAATCGTGTTTTTGATTATGAATGCTCTCTGCAACTGTATGGGCTACTACACGATTCCGGTAACTTTGTGGTAAGATTGTGCTGAAGTTATGCATTCGTGCAAGCTATGGGCACCATGACAAACTCTGATCTGTGGTGCTGTAGCGACATTCATCGGGACAGCTACAAACTGCAACACTTGGAACCGAACGGACAGTTACGAAGACGTTCAGTTAAATTTCATCACCTTTACACCAATTTGTAGTTAAATGGTATGAAAGGTTATTGTAGCACCTATAGCGTAATATGATCACTTTGAAACGTAGCACCTCTTGCCTTCCAGTCCACGAACCATGCGGCCGTCTTCTCCCTGGCCTCTTCCCACGTGAACAGCGGTTTGTAGCCAAGAAGCCTGGTGGCCTTCTTGTAGCTGAAGAAGAAATTAGTGTTGACAAGAATCAGAATCTCGCGGTTTAGCGGCGGAACAAAGTTGTAGAAAGGTTTCATGAGAATGCTAAGCCACTTTAAGATGAAAGCAATGAAATAGAGAAGCCAGAGAGGAAGCACGAGGTTGTCATCCCAACGGATTCCGCAAGGATTGAAGATGGCGTTGTGAATACAGGAATCGCTCCCAACGGGAGTGTCGTCAGCGACAAAGAAGACCTCGCCGCCGACGGTTTCTGGTGACTGCAGAAGTCTTTTGTGCGGCCAGAAGATGAGCCCAGGCCACGTTCCCTGTGTAGGTCAGGCGTGACTTGGTGGCTTTCCTACCCACTCGTGGCTGGGACTTGGCGAAGAGGTCGATCCCGTTGTCCAGAATATGTTTGATTACAGGCATCTCACCCTCGCCAAACAGTGCTGAAATTTAAACAAAAACGTTATGTTCTCCAATAGAAGGAATTATAACATAAACGAAATATCAAATGTTTATGACTATGATGGTCAAGAGTATGATTGTAATCCTGCGTTATACAAACGCGGCAGGCATTGTCCAAGAGACCGGCCAGTGGGGTTCGTCTGTGCAAGGACATTATGTCCTTGGTCTGTGGGAGCGCCAGTCAGGTAAAGTCAGAAGCCAACGATTTAGAAAAATCTAACTATGATATCAAAGTCCTTTTGAGACAATAGCATCGAGCATCTTGATCTTCTCTTATGATTGGCAAAGACAATCATTAGGATGATAATTA